GCGTGCCTGCTGGATCTCTGGCCCCATTGTGTGCGAGTCAAGCAAGCTGGATCCAATGACATACGTCGAAGGATCTTTTAACTTTTTTCCTGGCACCTGCCACTGGTTGTCGGCTCTGTGGACTTATGGAAGTCCATGCACGATCATTGCGCATGGTGACACAACAAGACCTGGGGGCTGTCCGTTGTTCGACGGATTAGAACGGCGGCCGGAGCTTTGACTTGGGCTCCACCGTTGGTCTTAGACAGCTCTGGCTACGGTTGTTGTGGATCGGCTCGCTGAGACACCGTGGCTTGTGCTGAACGGCCAACACCGGCAAAGTCTGTGCGTCGCAGCTGCAGGGAAGGCCCGCTCAAGCGAAGCCAGAATTGCTGGACTTTTCCAGCCCTTCATTTGGAGTCGCGAAGCTTGCGATTTCACCAACAGTGCAAAGCCTCTTGAACCGTCATTTGTGGGGTTTCGAGACAGAAACTGAAGCCTTCCAAAGCCTTCCTTGTGGGTTCGGAGCTTACAATCTTACCGTAGTCTCTGCACTCTTCTGGTCTGTAGTTCCTGCAGCTTGCAGCTGTCCCTGTTATCTTGTGCTTCACGTTGGTAGATTTCTCGGCTTGCGCGTGTCATCCTTGCGCAGGGGCCATGCTAATCTTCTCTATCTCGTTTCTCCACCTTCGGAAAGCACACGGCAAACGAGAGTGCCTCAACTGCTGAAGCAGTGCGAGCTTCGCGAGAGCATGCTTTGATTCATGCATGCTTTCACTGAAGAAGTGTTGACACCGTTTGGGACATGACCTGGACTACAATGCTAAAGGCAGCTCCATGCACAAAAACCGTGCATGGGTCCCGCCTCGCCGTTCATTTAAACTTTTAAAACCTAAACGGGGTGTGGGACCCGGCCCTAGAAAAATGGGACCCGGGTGGACCCAGGTGGGACCCGGATGGGACCCGGTGGGACCCGGTGGGACCCGGATTCGATCTGGCTAGCAAAGTATGGGACATGTGACAACCAGATGAAACTTCTTGTGTGGGAAACATGGGACCCGGTGACACCCGGATAAGACCCGGCGAGCAAAAAAACGGGATTCGGTGACGCAGAAGGTGGGACTTGGATGGGCCCGGTGGGACCCGGTTGGGACTCCTCGCAAAAAGCGGGACCTTGTGACCGCTCAGATGATGTGGCCTCAAAACCACACGTTGATGTGGCTTGAGAACCACACGTTAAGTGGCCTTGATGTGGCTTCAAAACCACACGTTTGTGGCTTATGTGGCTTCAAAGCCACACGTTTGTGGCCCGGATGTATTAAAGGGGTCACCAGAAGCCTCGGACCTGAACGAACACGTGGGCTGCCTTTCTTCTTTCTTTACTACAGAGAATTCTAAGCCGGAGCTGGCTCCAAGTCCACTTGCTGGAGCTAGAAAAAGGCTTCAACAAGCTTCGATGATCTTGCAAGCTATTGGCTATTGCTGACTCCATAGAGCCATAGATCTTGGCAATCCTAGACAGGAGCTTCGATGATCGTGTCGCAGCGATGCATCCTAATAAACGTCAAAGATCTCGATTGGCTTAAAAAGATCCTCGAGATACCTCGATGACATTGCAAACTGACACTGATCTCCAGTGGATATAGAAGCAGGATGAGCCCAAGAAATGATGCTGCGGACGACCCCGTTTCTGGGCCCACGAAACGAAAGCAATTCTGGCTTCGCCACAATGGGCCTCCCCAGTTGCAAATCCGCTGGTTGTGGCATTTAAGGTGAGCGTGCAGCTGCTTTGGACAAGACTTCTGGCTTTTCAATCTTGCGTCTGCATGATGCCCAAAACTGCGGGAACAAAGGCAGGCAGGCGCACGCCCGAGATCCAGCTGGTTGGCCCCGAACATTTGCGATTTGCGACCCCAAAAATGGGGCCGTTTCGCGGCCCCGAAAACAGGGCTGCGACATGCGCCCGGCCTCATTAAATATATAGTTTGAGCATGAGTTGGAGGCTTGGAACCCCGACCCCAAAAATGGGGCCGCCAAACGGCCCCATTTTGGGGGGTCGCGAATTCTTCTACTTTGAGGCACGTCCGCCTGACTGCTACACAACAGGCGACTGTGGCACACAGGCGCGCGTCCAGCTTGGAAAAAAACAAGCTTTCAGGATTAAGGCTTCCAAGCCGAGCCTTGCTTTCTTATAGAAGTACATTAAATCAACATGAAAGAAACGGGCACAGGGGAGGCCCGCTCAAGCGAAGCCAGAATTGCTGGACTTTTCCAGCCCTACATTTGGAGTCGCGAAGCTTGCGATTTCACCAACAGTGCAAAGCCTCTTGAACCGTCATTTGTGGGGTTTCGAGACAGAAACTGAAGCCTTCCAAAGCCTTCCTTGTGGGTTCGGAGCTTACAATCTTACCGTAGTCTCTGCACTCTTCTGGTCTGTAGTTCCTGCAGCTTGCAGCTGTCCCTGTTATCTTGTGCTTCACGTTGGTAGATTTCTCGGCTTGCGCGTGTCATCCTTGCGCAGGGGCCATGCTAATCTTCTCTATCTCGTTTCTCCACCTTCGGAAAGCACACGGCAAACGAGAGTGCCTCAACTGCTGAAGCAGTGCGAGCTTCGCGAGAGCATGCTTTGATTCATGCATGCTTTCACTGAAGAAGTGTTGACACCGTTTGGGACATGACCTGGACTACAATGCTAAAGGCAGCTCCATGCACAAAAACCGTGCATGGGTCCCGCCTCGCCGTTCATTTAAACTTTTAAAACCTAAACGGGGTGTGGGACCCGGCCCTAGAAAAATGGGACCCGGGTGGACCCAGGTGGGACCCGGATGGGACCCGGTGGGACCCGGTGGGACCCGGATTCGATCTGGCTAGCAAAGTATGGGACACGTGACAACCAGATGAAACTTCTTGTGTGGGAAACATGGGACCCGGTGACACCCGGATAAGACCCGGCGAGCAAAAAAACGGGATTCGGTGACGCAGAAGGTGGGACTTGGATGGGCCCGGTGGGACCCGGTTGGGACTCCTCGCAAAAAGCGGGACCTTGTGACCGCTCAGATGATGTGGCCTCAAAACCACACGTTGATGTGGCTTGAGAACCACACGTTAAGTGGCCTTGATGTGGCTTCAAAACCACACGTTTGTGGCTTATGTGGCTTCAAAGCCACACGTTTGTGGCCCGGATGTATTAAAGGGGTCACCAGAAGCCTCGGACCTGAACGAACACGTGGGCTGCCTTTCTTCTTTCTTTACTACAGAGAATTCTAAGCCGGAGCTGGCTCCAAGTCCACTTGCTGGAGCTAGAAAAAGGCTTCAACAAGCTTCGATGATCTTGCAAGCTATTGGCTATTGCTGACTCCATAGAGCCATAGATCTTGGCAATCCTAGACAGGAGCTTCGATGATCGTGTCGCAGCGATGCATCCTAATAAACGTCAAAGATCTCGATTGGCTTAAAAAGATCCTCGAGATACCTCGATGACATTGCAAACTGACACTGATCTCCAGTGGATATAGAAGCAGGATGAGCCCAAGAAATGATGCTGCGGACGACCCCGTGTCTGGGCCTACGAAACGAAAGCAATTCTGGCTTCGCCACAATGGGCCTCCCCAGTAGTTGTCGACCTCTGTTAATTTGCCGCCACGTTTCATTGCTGTTTTTGTTTGTTTGGTGGTTTCTTTGTTTGCAGGAGTAGACGTTCAAGCCAAAAAAAAATCATTTCTGAACCTTCTCCGAACTACAACTGGGCAAGCTCCTCTCGTGGACTGGATTGCCAGCTACAACTTTTTTCAGTTTGTCTGCACAGATGTCACCAGTGCAGTTTTTGACAAAACACCACATGCACCACAAAACTGCAAGTTTTTTTTTTGTCGATTGCACTTTGTGTGCAGCGGTGACCGACTGTAATTTGTTTTTTCGCCCTTACGACCCATGTTGGAAAGCTGGGCTTTACCTCGGACTTTCTACACCATGAGGAATCTTCAGCAAATTCAATAGCTTAAAAGTCCAACAGGGATGTATCTTAGCGTCTCTCCTCTTCACCTGCAGATTTGGAGCACAGCGAAGTTCGCGCCGCGGAGACGGCAAGTGTGACCTGGTCGCACCTGTGTTCAAACCCAGGGTTCAAATGTTCTTCAGCAGAAACGTTACAGCGATGCGCGGCAACATGATTGTTTCTTCACTTGTCCAAAGGTTCTTGGAATAGAAGCCTCCAAAATGTTTTGGCTGCAATTTCTTGAATTGCTTTGTTGTTGTTGGTTTTCCTTCTTTTTGTTCTTGTTGATGTTGATTGTTGTTGTTCTTCTTCTTCTTGTTTCAAGCCACATCAAGTGATCGTGTTGAAAGCAAAACATAGCGAACTTCCCCACGGCTAGAAGCTTTGTGCGGCATTTGTCAAGACCTGGATCAATGTTGGCATGGCATGCTCTTTGATAGCTTGACATGACTCAGTCTTTTCAAGACGGAAAGCGCAGTGAGTCAATCCGCCATGCCTCCAAAACAAGAGCAAGTTTGGTATGGTACTTCGATTCGTTGCTGCCAGTACAACCACGCGAAAGATTGTTGGATTGCTGTAAAAGGTTGAGCGAAAAGGAAAAAGAAGCCAAACTTCGCTTCGTATCTTCTCAATTGAAGAAGAAGACGAGGCAGATTGGTTACTGTCACAGGCACGAAGCATGCTCCATGAAGTTCCGGTGTGACCAACAAAGAAGAAGGCAGTTTGTCAAAATAGCTTTGTTGTTGTTTGGGAAATCGGTTTCAAAAATTCTTGGGAAGCGATGTCCGAGAGTGCTAAGGTTTTGCACTTCCACCAGACTTGCTTGATTTGGATGAGGAAGTCTTTTACTTGCGTGTTGAAAGATCCGTTCGGGAGGGTCGCAAGCACGACGGGAAGGTCATTGCCGAGGTCGAGCAGCATTTGAAGAAGCACCAGTTTGGACGCCACCTTCCAGCAAAACAGGCGAAGAAGGCTATGACAGAGCTGGGAATTCCCGCGGAACACATTCCAAGTGATCGAGCTTTAGATGGTGTCAGACACCGACATCTGGAAGAGGGCAAATCCTATGACGGCAAGTTCGTTTCCACAGTTGGAGCTTTTTGCCAAAACCCAACCTGTCGTTGTGCTTCACACGGAAGAGACACCTCCGGTTTCAGAAGAAACGGTTCGGCTCTTGTTCTACGAGCAAGAGAATTTGGATGCCGTGATTGCCAACCTTCGCACACAGGATCGGTGTGTGCTCGTTATGGATGCCACATTCAAGACCAATGTGCAGGATCTTGTGTTAGCTAGCCTCGGACTGGTCATCTTTCACCAGGTTGGCGGAGTGGTGCGCAATCGATTCTGGCCGGTAGTTTGTGCTGTGTGTGACAAGGAAGATGAACCGTGTTATGCCCTCTTTTGTCGATCTTTCCAGAAGCTATTGGAAACTTCGGGTTTGGATTGGGAGAAACTGGTGACGAATGTGGTCATGGATGGTGCAGGCGGTGCCATCAATGCCACAAGTGCATGCTTTCCAGACGCTACTTTGCACCGGGACTTAGAACACATAAAGAAAGACGTCAAGCGCACCGGGAGCAAGAAGAAAGCTGACTCAGAGTTGACATTGGAGATAACGGAAATCATCCAGTTCAGCGCGAAAATCGCACATCCACTACAGTTCCAAGTCATCTGGGAAGACACGTTGCGAAGGCTGCGTGACCCCGAAGACTGGAATCAGGACAGCGCAGTTTGTGTGTGTGTGTGTGTTTGACATGGTTAAAGTGGATTCCTGAGCTCGCTTCATAGACTATTTTTTTCGATCTTGGTAGCTGGTTTGATCGACTAGTTTTTCGATCTTGTGAGCTGGTTTCATAGACTATTTTTTTCTCGATCTTGGTAGCTGGGTTGATCGACTAGTTTCTTCGATCTTTTGAGCTGGCGTTATAGACTCTGTTTTCGATCTTGATAGCGCTGGGTTGATAGACAAGCTGCCTTGGGGTAGCGCAGCGGAGCTTAGGTTTGCTTGAGGAGAAATTCGCGGATTACTTGGAGAAGCGGGTCTTGCAGAAGAAAGGCTTGTGGTGGAGCGCAGATTGGCAGAGTGGTCTCGGTCAAGTGTGCCCGGGTTACGGTACTTATGTGTCGAATTCCCGAGAGCGGGCTTGGCGTTCGATCAAAGGTCTTTTCAAGAAAGGCTTCCGACACCAGGATGTCAGCCAATTGGTGCGTGAAACAGCAGTGACTCAGCAGTGACCCTGCAGACTCTGGTGCGCCGAGGACAGCATGCCAAAGCATGCTTTCAAATCGAGGAGCCTCCTGAGTCACTTGCGTACAGTGCGAAAAGGTTAAAGTCCGAGCAAGATGATGAAGGAATCCAATCCCACCGGCTCACATTGGACTTGATGCAGCAGTGGCGAGATAAGGAAGGCATGCGGCATGTGTTGTGTTCCTAAAAGCAGTGTTGGTGCTTGGTTAAAACAGTGAAGTAGTGTATGCTGCAAGGTGATGCAAACACCTTTCTCAAGTACGAGACTGCGGGCCGCATCATGGTAGACTGTCGGACGGTGGACATTACTGCAGTCATCGTTATGCCAAAGTACAAATTGGAGTATGCCAAGAACAAGAAAACGGACATGGTACAGCGGTTGGACTTGGCACTTTGTTCTTTGCATGAAGATGGTGAAGCTGCTTTTCGCACTGCTTTGGGAAACCCAAGGCAGTGGTCCTTTTCCATGCATAAAAAATTGTTCTACAAGTACACTGTGATGTATGTGCTTAGCACGGGCCGTGTCGTGGATGAACATCCACATTTTGTGCACAGTAGCTGCAGCGAGCAGGCTTTCTTTTACAAATCCGTGTCAGGCGGCTTGAATCTGCACCCCATTGCAAGGGGCCCCAAGACTCTCAAAGCCAGGCATCAACGGCGGGACAGGCGAACCGAGGAGTTTCGCAAAAAAAATCTAGGAGTGGACAAAGGTGGTTTTTCGAAACCCACAGTTCGAATTTAGAGTCCCGAACCCAAGATTGATTTCTGCGAAAACATAATCAACCAGAAAGTCTCTGCACGAAAGAAGAAAAGTCTACACGAAATTGCTTTTTTAGGGTTCAAAGACTTAAAAGGCCAAGGTTTTAAGTGTCTGGACACGCAGTCACAGTAGCAGACGCGGTTCTGGAAGATCTCAGAGGCTGTGGTGTTTGCAGGCTTTCCAAGTCAACAGATATGGCTTGGAGAGTCTGGCAAGAGCTTGGCTTCCAAGCCCGTGCGCCGCTCCAGGCGCCACACCTTCAAAACGGTGCATCAGGAGGGTCAGAAGGCAAACCAGTGGATCTTAGCATTCAAGTCAGGGTGCCAGGCGCCCTTTCAGAAAGGTGCGCCAGTGGGGCCGGTGGAGCGGTTTTGGGTGCGCTTGCCAGCAAAAAACGGGGTGTGGCATCTGGAGCGAACGCCACGCGGCGTTTTAAGTGGCCGCCTCTATTGCGATTTCGTGTGCCTTCTCCTTGTATTGTCTTCACTTTCAGTTGAAGCGATTTCATGTGGGCTTCTCCTTCTTTCGTGTTTTGCGTTCACGTTCCAGTCGATTCTTCTTTGCTTTATCTTTCCTCCAATACCTTCTCCTAGGTTTTTTTCGCTTTTAAACCCCCTAAAGCGATTTTGTGTGGGCTTCTCCTTCTTTCGTTCGGGGAACCCTATGTTCCAACCCTGGGTTCGGGGAACTCTATATTCGAACCCTGGGTTCGGGGAACTATATGTTCCAACCCTGGGTTCGTGGAACTCTTTATTCGAACTCTGGGTTCGGGGAACTCTATGTTCGAACCCCTGGTTCGGGGAACTCTTTGTTCGAACCCTGGGTTCGGGGAACTCTACATTCGAATCCTGGGTTCGGGTACGAATATATAGGTCCCCGAACCCAGGTTCGAATATAGAGTTTTCGGAACCCAGAGTTCGAATATAGAGTTCCGCGAACCCCGGGTTCGAATATATAGAGTTCCCCTATGTTCGAACCCTGGGTTCACGGAACTCTATATTCGAACCCTGGGTTCGGCATGAGTCAGGAGGTTGCTTCGATCCTTGGGCTCTATGTCGCTGCCTTTGCTTCGATACTTTTCCAACTTCGTGGCGCTCTTCTTTGGAATTGGGGCCGTATCTCCACCCTCTTCTCATCTTCGTGCTTCCTGCATGGGGATTGGTTGGCTTTCGCCCCCTGAACACAGCAGCCGATGCACCGTTTCGCGGATAAATCATTGCTGCGCACCGATGCAATGAACTTTCGAACTTTCGTGTGCACAGCCGCAACGGAACCGGTTTCAGCGGATCGCTCGTTGTCCGACGGGGATGGAACGACGGCCGGAGTCTTGGAATTGGACTCCACCCTTTTCCCGGGAAGTCTGGAGCGACGGCTTCTTGCTACTCCTGCGCAGCTGCTGAGTCAGAGCTGCTCGCCGCTGTTAATACTCAATTTAGGTCCCGAGGATCTTTGCATGCTGTGGTTTGCAAACCATTCAGTTGTTGTGTCTGTGGATACTCGGACGAGAAAGCGCTTCTGAAACGGTCAGGAGTCATCGCAGCAAATGTGAGCAACCAGCGTCCATGCAGGTTCGTTTGTTTGACGATGTCTTTGAGTCCTTGCGCCCAGCTCGGGCAGCCACATGAACAATTGACCTTGACGTTGTATTTCAATCCAGATTTTCAAGACTTACGAAGCTGCTAGAATGTGGTCTAGAACGAACACAGCTTGCTGGCAGGCTACCTTTCGCTATTCTATGAACAAGCCAGCGCAGCGAACGGCTTTCAGAGAAAGAGATCGCTGCCATAGAACCGCAAGAGCCGCGTTTTTAGCTTTCGAACAACAAATCCAACTATGTTGCTGACCCGCTCATAAGCAAACTGGATGTCTGCACGTCTCCACTGGCCTAGATCAAGCAAAGCTTCATACCTTTGCCGTTTTCGATTTCGAACCTTCTACGCGCATTGCCCCCTTCGTAGCTTGTTGGTTAGCATTGGTCAAGTTTTCAGCTAATTGAAACCTGATGCTTCCAATCTGTTGAATTCAGCAAACAGACATGGAGGTTTCCTGTTCAATGAATATATTCACGCCTTATGTTTCGGCTCTGTAACTTGTGTGGCAAAGCAAAGCTTTCATAAAACGACATCATGCGTAGTTATACAGTTATACCTTTCGTTGCGGGTTCCATGTTGGTCCAGGTTACTGGTTTTAAACCAGGGCTTGAGATCTCGGAATTGGATCGAACTTGGAGGCCAAAAAAGTTGGATTTACGTGCATTGAGCAGTGCGGACAGCAGACTTGTCAACGGTTTGTAAACGAACATGATGCAGCATCATTGACGATGAAGTCATTCGGCAAAGGGGTAAAACTTGAAAAATGAGTAGAACGGTGGTATGCGCAGCCATTCGGTGGTGAACCTTATGACGTTGGCAAAAGGCTGTCCCCGTAGGGCCAAGATTTTGGGTTGCTCATCAATAGGGAGCATGGTTTTTTTTGCAAAGCGACCCTGTGCAAAAGGCCTCGTGCTGTTGCATGTGCGAGATTCGTGGTCGCCGCCATCTGGTTGCAGCGAAGCCAAGCACATACGAGTATAGAACAATGTGGACAAGGTGTGCAGCTGCATGCTTCTCTTGTCGTGTTGGTTGTGAAAACCTTCTCAACCCCGCACTCGCTTATTATTGCGTTGGAGTTTGGTGTCATGACTTTTAATCACGAAGTGGCCACATGCTTGCATGGTCAGCTTGACACAACGTGCAGATTCGAGTCACATGGGCGAGCAAAACGAAGGCATGTGTTGACGTGCATGGCAATGCTTGGCATGACCGTAACATCAAGTAAAGTTTGGTGATTCGCATTGCTTTTAGTTATCGTGGTGGAGCGGCGGTGCAAAAGCCATGGCAGACCCCAGAGGTGCGATGGCCCAGTTGTGCTTTTGCGTGCAAGACTCTTTCGCGCAGGTCCGCGCTTGGTGCCACCTCCGCCTCCACCGGCACCGGATGTGTGGTGGCCACCGACACCGCCTCCGGAGGTGGCAACGGCAAACGTCTTTTTGTTTTTTGGTGGCGAGTCTATGCACTCCTAGCTTGGCAGGTTGGAGAGGAAGTGCAACGAGGCGGTTTCGCTCTGATTTCGCAAATGCCGAGCCCCGGACCGAGGCGCCCTGCAAGCATCAAGATGCAACGTCACGTCGAAGATCATGTTCGTTCTTGTTCAGCTTGGGCAGCTTTCATCTCAGCTGCAGAGCTTTTGGCAAAGTTTGACCAAATCGCATAAAACGTGCATGTACTGATCTTATTCCACTTTCACTTGTTCCACCTCACACAGTCACTCTGAAAGAATATCAGTATCTCCGCAGAGCTTTACGTAGCTTAGTTGTGACCCCAGCTTCATTTTTTTTTTGCGTTTTGTCCGGTGAAAAATTTCTTAGCCTAAACATTTGAAGCCTTACTCTTGAACCTACACCCGAAACCCCCGAAGCCCTAGACCCTAAAACTCTGAAGCTGTAAGCCGCTTTGGGAGACCATCAGGCACTGCGAAAAGAGCCTTGTCTAACAAAAACGAACCCTGCAGCCCTGAACCTACGCCTGTCAAAGCCTAAACCCTAAACCCGAAGCCCTAGACCTGAAAGCTAAACCCTAAACCCTCAACCTTTTAAAAACAGGAACCCTAAATCCCTAAACCCCTAAACCCTAAATCCCTGAATCCCTAAACCCTAAATCCCTAAACCCAAAACCCAAAACCCAAAACCCTAAACACCAGAAAAGCCGCCGCTTCCGCACGTCCCGGGGCAGGCTGCAGGGACTCGCACCAGTAGGAGCTCCCGCAGGCGTTTTTCTGGTTTCGGGGTGTTCCTGGGTTTAGGGTCTCTTTGGGGATGTTTCGGGTTTAAGGTTTAAGGTTTGGGTGGATCTTAGGATATTTCGGGTTTAGGGTTTTGGTGTCTTTTTCGGTATAGGGGGTAGTACTACCAAAGTTCAAGTGCACAGTAGAGGTGGTTGCAAGAATTACGATCCTAATCGGGACATCGCAGTTGTCTCAATGATGACGGGTTGCAGGTAACCCAGCGGCAGCCAACCTGACAAGGCGCCCAGCGTCAAGCGGGTTTGGGCTTGAGGTTGGGGTTTCGTGCTTCGTGTGCAGGTTTGTTCCAAGCCCGTGGGCACCACCTGCTGGACAGCTTGCGCCCGCACCGCATGCTGTGCCACACGGTCCCTTGGCAGCAGAGGTGGCACGTGATTAGCATACCGCTGAAAAGAACAAAAGACTTACAGGTTTGGGAACTTCGACGATGAATGCCAGCAGTGACAGCTTGAAGTGAAGTGAACGTCGAAGACATGTATTTCAGACATTGAGCACTGCCGCAATCTTGTCCCATGAGGTTTTGGTTGGCCTCCTCTTTGGAGCACTCCTTCAGGACAGCAGTCGGAGCCTTAACGGATAGGAATTCACCTTTCTGACATGCGAGGGCCACATGCTCAGGTCTCCGGGAGCAGCACGAGCGTTCGTCTCACCCACGCGGTGTCCTCAGTGGACTGTGAGGGGAGTCATATACCGGAGTACTGTGCCCAGCACTCATTTGCTTGCGACACCGCTGCCAAGGTGCCACTGGCGCAATGTGGAGGCACGGAAAGAATTCTGTCGTGCTGTTGCTCCCAGAGTTTCTGCCGACATTCAGCTCTTGGAACCGGTTGCCGGCGCCAGGAACAAAGAACAGCTCCCGCCGATGCAATGATGATGCGATGCAAGTCACCACCTGCCATGCGGTTAGCGCCGCAGATGGCTGTGTCTCCCGCTGCACCACCGACTGTTGTTCGCCAGCAGATTTACCCACCACTGCTGTCGAGTGCTGATGCAACCAAGTTTAAAGGATGCACCCGCCATACGCTTCACAGCCTTCCATCTTCCAAGTCGATGCAACGACTCCACACGCAGCCCAGCCACTCGACATCTTTAGCTTGTAGCAACAGTCCCTCTACCACGACTGGCACCACCGTGGGCTTGGGCTTGGCGGCCCCTGGCAAATCCGATTCCTTGTCGGATGAGGAGTTGCGACTCCTCGCCGCGGAGGTGCTTCGCGACTTCGTTGCGCAATCCTTGCTGAGAAAGCTGAGCAGGGAAGAGTTGGATGCGTTGCTCAAGGCGCACTTGGGTGAGCAGCATGCCACTCGGATCATGGCACAGAGGGCGCACCTCCGTGCCAGCACGGAAACAGTGATTTCCAGCTCGACGAGCCTCGGCCACTGGCGCTCCAGTGAGGCGCGGCTCGAGGACGCACAGCAGAAGTTGGCTTTGGCAAAGGCCGAGGCCCTCGACTCTGCACTCCTCGGCCGGATCAGGGAGAGAGCGGAACGAGAGAGAGGAGAGAGAGGAGGCGAGCTTGAACCAGAAGCGACGGAGGCCGGGGCAGAGGCGGAGGCGGCAGAATGCCCGAGCTTGGGCCTGTGGGAGCAGAGGCTTCTGCCAGCAGAGGAGTCCCTGCAGCCGGCTCCGATCTCCAAAATGAAGGTGCAGGAGGCCTCTGCTCTCGAAGGCGTCAGTCTGGAGGAGCATTCCGTCGTGTGCCACGAGCGCTCGAGATCGAGATTCGCCGCTGTAAGCGAGGATTTGGGTTACATCTTCGGCGAGGTCTCCAGTCCCCCCGCTGCAACGTCGCCTCCGCCTGAAGCGCATCGCCCGAGACAGGCATCTCCACCCAGACCTGCGCGCGTAAAGTCGGCGCTTCTTGGCTGCAAGTTTCCCATGAAGAGGGCGGTCGTAGCACGAGAAGACTGATTGAGAGAGGTACAAGTAAGAATAGTAGTAATCGTAACAGTTTTACTGCATAATTTGTAGAAACAAAAGGGATTATTGGTACAAATCATCGTTGTTACATTGTACAATCGTTGGTAATTCTATTCCTGTGATCATTGAGAGAAGTATTGTCATTCGCATTATGCATAGTTTTACAAGTGTTCGATTCACTGACATTGTACGTGCTGCATTCAAGAGCCGAGGCAATCACTGCATGACAGCTCCAGCACGTATCTTGCCAACTTGAAGGCTCGTGTTGCTCGGCCAGGATGATGAAAAGCCTCAAATGATGGGTGGTAGTAGGGTCCACCATGACTGCGCCTTACGTTGCAATGACATGTTCTTGTGCATCTTCTCAAAAGTGGAGTGCTCTTTCAACGAAGACCCATCTGGAACCAGGTAGCGCGGTCATCCGTTGCACCGTGATTTAGAATTGCCGAATCGTACGACCCCTTTAAAGCAACCCCAAACCCTAAACTCGTATAGATCCCTTTAAAAAAACACCCAAGGCCCTAAACCCTTGCTTGTGCCTGGGCCCTGTGCTGGCGATGGCCATGGCCTGACGAGGCGGGTTTAGGGTTTAGGGCTTTAGGGCTCAGGGTTTGGGGTGAAGAGTTTTGGGGTTTTAGGGTTTAGGCTTCTCTGCTTAGCTGCTTGGAGTGATGCTTGACATCTTACATCCGGCCCCTGGCCCCTTGCGCTCGGCAGGACTTGGGCGAGAGCTATGGCTACCTTCTTGAGGCATGCTGCCACAAGCCACGGTCCAATCAGCAACTCCAGACCCCACGCATTCCCAAGCTCGATTTTGGGAGCAGTTTGTGCTAGGGTTGCCTCTCGTGACAGGTCTCCATGCCTCAGGGTCCTGCCCTTGAGAGGCCTCGCGCAGACGAAGAAGAAGGCTGCTGAACAGGGTCGTTAAATGGTTGGGTTGGCAGAAGAAGCAGCTAGACTTAGAGCAAGCAGACCTGATGGAAGTATCTGGGCAGGCGAAAGCCAAGCAGCTCAAGAAACAGAACGCTCCGTCAGGTGCCTACTAGTAGCTGAATGCGAGGCTTTTGGAAGCAGTCAGTCTGTCTTGCGCTTCCGATGGCCGCGACCTTCCGCCGGCCCAGACTGATCCGGTGTGGATAAGAAATCCACCAAACCAGTCGACAGCATCACGTGTGCATGGAAAGGACTGATATCTGGGAGTTTCCGAAAATTAGGGGTACCTTATTTTGGGTCCTGATAATAAGGATCCTACTTTTTAGGGTATTATATTAGGGTCCCCTAATTTTCGGAAACTCCCATATCTCGGGCATCAGAAAAGCGGGTTCAGGAAGCCAAAACCACGCAGGGACGGCCACAGTCAAGCCAGTAAACCTTGAACCCTTAAGCCGGAACCCCAAAGGGAACTCCAGAAAGTTGGAATATGGATTAATGGTAGGATCCCCTATATTTTACCTTAAAGGGGTTACGATAATGATATTCCAACTTTCTGGCTTCTACTGTAAGCCCTAAGCCCCGGCACCCTCAACCCTAAACCTAAACCATGAGCCCTGAACCTCTAAGCCTCATAAGCCTCATAAGCCTCTAAGCCTCTAAGCCTCTAAACCTCTAAACCTTCTAAACCCTAAACTTCCCAAACCCTGAACCCTAAACCCTCATGGAGCAGCGATGCGGTGTCCGAGAGTTGCCTTCGCGGGCCTTCGCCGGCGGACCTTGGAGGCCTCTGAGCATGAAACGATGAACCCAAACCCGAGTTTGAGGATTTCGGGTCTCTTTAAGGGATCCTTTCAGGGGATCTATAGGGCTCTTTAAGGGATCCTTTAAGGGGATCTATAGGGCTCTTTAAGGGATCCTTTAAGGGGATCTATAGTTGAGAAATCACGAGCCCCCAGGCCCTTCTTATGTAGATCATCTTGAAGCAGTTTCACTCGAAGACGTTATCACCGATATTTTGGCTCAAGACACAAAAGAAGCGTTATCATCACTGTGTCTTGGAATCAGAGATTGCCCTGCAATTAACTGGTTAACAGCCTCAGCGTTGCTTGGTGTAGGTAGTGTAGGAGCCTACCGACGCCATAGCACCTTCCATATTGCTCCCTTAGGGTAGAGCTTGAAATCGGAGTGTCATTGGTTTGTGAGAGACCTACCCGCCATTCCACATCTCTTTCCATATTTGCACTGTTATCTGTACTCCCCGTGTAGGTAGAGCCAACCACCGGGTAGAGTCTGTCCTTCTTTCACATTCTTGCCAACCTCTGCCCCTGCTAAGGCACCCAGCCAACAGGGAGCTTTCCATATTGCTGAACCACAGAATCATTAGTGTATGCCCACGCCTGAGGGTTGGCCTACGCTTTGGGAACGTGTGGTTTACTTCTTCACAGAGCTGTACTACGATATCCGAATCTTCATCCTAAGGAGGTTCTTTCCTGCATACTTGGCTAGACGCCAACGTTGGGTTAGAGTCCGTGTGAGGTTGCGCAGGCTTGTGCGTAATTTGCTTCGCTCCTTCTACAGGAGAGGTGAGCTCACGATTGCCTTGTATCGGATTCATCACGCATCTCATCCTAGGTACATAGACAACACCGCCTTTGTACCAATCTATCTTCAGGTTCCTCGTTATTTCCCATAGCTGTTGTTCGTGTCTCCACTTCGTGTGTCGAGGCGCGCACTCTCTCCTCCGCCTGCTGCGTCGAGGAGACAGCTTGGACCATTCTCTAGGTACAGGGCTGATTCGGCAACTGCCAACAGCCCCTGCTATCCTCAACATCTTCCTTGACTTCCCGAACAGCCGGTGTCGGCACCTTGCCACCCGGAACACCCGAAATCCAATCACCTTGCCCAAAGGTCCGTTCACGACTTCAGGGTAGCAAGGCCTCGTGGTGATTGGAAGGATTAGCTGAGATTGAATCAAAGGTTCGATTTCTGGTTTCGGTTGATCTCATAAGATTTGGGATTCTGGAACAATCGAAAGCACTTCCACCTCTGCTGCCGTGTTGGCACACAGCCACCGGCCGCATCCTGGTTGGTTGTGGTTGGTTGTACTGTCGGTTGAGTGTGGTTTTCCGACGAAGTCACCTGCATCATCCGATAGGCCATCAGTTAAGCCAACGATTCTGGCATAGGGACAGTTAAGCCAACGATTCAGGCAAAGGGTAACATCAAGCCACAGTAGCGGCATTGGGGGATACATCAACTTCAAGCCACAGTTCCGGCACGGGGGTAAATTTGCAAGCCACTCTAACGGCACGGGGGTTTGCATTGGGACTTGGAGTTAATCGGCTTCCTCGTCTCACCCGTATATGCTGTCACCGGATCGCCGTGAAGAGCTTTTTGGACTTGCTGCGGCATTTGGAGCCGACACCCGCGCTTCTAGAGGTGGCCGGGCCGCCAACAATAAGCGCCGCTCACTTCATATAAAGCTGCTTCAGCTTTGGCGTGAGAGTTTGGAAAACCTCGCCGAGGAAGTATTCAATAAGCCTCCGGGGCAGGTGCCGGCATTGGCTGCCAAGTTCTTTAAAGTAAGCGCGCGGCTTACGCAGATCTCCGCGTCTGGGTACGTGATCTATAAGGGGACTCCTCTCCTTCCGAAGGAGGAGGAGGAGGAAGAGTCTGACTCAGACTCGGTGTTGCAGGAGCCCGTTTCGCTACAGGATTTGGCCGAGGTTTCTTTGGATTCTTTGGACACTCCAGAGCGAGCAGAGCCAGCATCTTCATCCGCCGAGCCAGCTTCTTCATCTTCCCACTTGGGCAGCTCACTTGAGCGCAGGTCGCGATCGCCTTCTGTTCGTGACCAGCCTGACTTCAGTGTGCTAAGTGGTTCCGATAGGCTAAGCTCCGGTAGGCCGCTTCCTCCTGAACCCCCTTCTGCTCCTCTTAGACCAGCGCTAACGCAGCACATTTCGGCAACAGGTCCCACTGCTGCGCCTGAGATCCCAGAACGGAGGCCCAAGCAGAAGGCCAGGCCAAAGCAGCGTCCAGTTGAGCCGTCTGGTCCGCCGCCCAAGCCACTTTCATTGCTCCGGTGCGACGAGAATCCACTTTATCTTGCTGCGGCAATTGATCGCGCGGTCGAAGAGCAAGGAGGCGTCACCCATATTCTCTCCCTTGATTACCACGGAGTTTTGGATAGGACCTTCTTGCAGTCCCGCTATCTTTTCGAGAACCTGTCTCGACGCAGCAATATACTGATCCTTGTCAATTCCAAATGTTCAACGGAAAGCTTGATTGAGCACGCGTTGGAGTACGTGCGCGAAGTGGCAGTGTCAGCGCGGTATAACGTGCGTAGCCTGCCGCTTCTCTTTATCAGGCGACCGAACAAGGCCCAGCGACTCTGGTCGGCGATTTCAGCTTCATCTTTGAGCGACGGGATCCCAGTCGTCCACGTGGACGACAAACCGTCAATCTGTGCTGAGTTTTCTGGCTGGGATCGCTACGGGTGGAAAGGCTTGGCACTTCACCCTGCCCGCCGCACAGAGCTGTGCGACCTTGTCCTTCCCGCCATCTCTGAGTGGTGAGGGCGCAAGGGATTGAAAAGAACACGGGAGTTTCGGCAGTCGCCAACCCCGCTTAAGTCCCCAATTGCTTGAATCATGTCCCACGAAATGTCGTCAGAAGAGCAAAGCTCCTTGCAGATTACTTCATCCAGTAGTGGGGTTAGGGCATTGCCGGTTAGAGCTTCCTCCAGGTCATCCCGAGGGTCGCGTAGTAGCCATAGCTCTTCCCCATCGCCAACAGTAAGAAAAGGACCTCACCTTAAGCAGTCCCCAGCCTCCGACAAAGGCCCAGGTAGTGGTTCGTTGGTGCCATTCGCCAACCAATCTCCACACAACCGGAGCCCAGATGATGGCCCCATTGTGCGCACAGGAGCTGCGCCAGCCCGGAGCATTCCATATGTTCCTACCGGCCAGGGTTCCCAAGGGTCTGGGGTTCAGGATAGCTCGGGAGTGAGGTTGTATCAACAAAACATTAGCATAGGACTTGATCCTAACGAGGTGATGGCTCAGGCTAGAGAGTTCGAGTCGACGGTTTATGGTCAGGCCCAAGCAGTGGTCCAGGAGGCCCAGGGTCAAGCGAGGGAAGAGGCTAGGCAATTCGGAACACAAGTTGTCAATCAGGCTCAGACTGCGGTTCTAGAGGCTCAGGAGGCAATCGCTAAGGCAGCAGCAGCCGCAGCAGTGGAACAAGCCAGATCCGAGTTGAGACTAGAAGTCCAGCAGCGTGAATTGGCATTCCAACAAAGGAAGCTGAACTGATTGCGCAAATCCGTACATTACAGAACGAGGTCACTGTGCTTCGTCATCAGAGCATGCCTCCACCTTCGGACCCACCACCAAACATCCTCAATGGCACGGAGTTAGCCTCTACCATTGCTGAGTTAAGGGCTGAGGTTAATACATTGCGGGATTCCGTAACTAGCCCTCGAAGACCTAGATTACCGTTGTCCAGCGGCGTCGGCACTCGGCCACCCGCTGCCTCATACCAGCGAGCACCCGCTCCAATAGCACCATCGATAAGGCAGAATCCTTCACCACATCCTTCATGGCATGGTTCCCCGGTCAAACATGACCCGTATTCAGATGACGATTCTGATGATTCGGAATTGCGGTTAGACTTCGGAGGTCCACCAAACCCTTCTGATCCTAGCCCGCACGGTAGTGCCGGGAGCCATCGAAGCTACAATAGCCGTGGTGTCGGGTCAACGATGCTGTTTTCGGAAGATGATGTGTACAAGCACAAGGATTTGTCGTTGGTGAAAGTCGACTCTCTCCCTCGCGATGCTGCTCAGTTTAGATCCTGGAAGAACGCTTTTGTGACCAAGGTATGTGCCATTGATAGGACCGGTTCTGATACATTGCTTAAGTGGCTATTGCCCGCTTTCGAATCATCACAGGATGCGGACCTGTCAGATCCCCAGGGACTTCCGAGGTTTGACGCGCATTTGGCATCACTTCTTGCAGACCCGAAGCATCTCAACAATGAGTTAGGCATTCAGCTTCAGGGTTACATTGAAGGTTGTCAGCTTCAGTACACAGCCCCTAGGGGAAGGGTACTGTTGCAAATGGTTGCCCACAGATTCTTCCTTGACCAGCGCCGTGGAGCGAACCTAACTGAGCAGGCATTGTTGGAATTGCAGCTAGACACCTTTTCGTACCAATCGCTACTTGCTTTCGCGAATCGTGTAGAGTACATCCTGAATTCAATCCCCGTCGAACATCAGCCCTCAGAACAGACGAAATTCACTTGGCTGTTTGGCCGTTTGAAGAAGTGTCGTCTACTGCAGCGGCACATCGATCGCATCAAAGATGCTCATGAGGGTTCACGGGTTAGGACTTGGGATTGGTTGTTTGCCAAGCTTAAGTCATTGATTGCTGAATTGAGGGAAGACGCTAACGAGACGGCCATCAAAGATGCGCTAAGCCCATCCCCCAATAAGCAGGGAACGAAAACCAAGGAACAGAAGGAGAAGGATCGGAGAAACCGCGACAAAGGCGCGGTGGCCGACCCACAAGGCAGTGATACGCAACCCGCATTGCCCGGTAAAGCGAAGCCTCCCTTTAAGGGTTCGGGTAAAGATAAAGGTCAGCCACCCGGTGCCAAAGGCCCCGGTAAAGGCACACCGAAAGGAGACAGACCAAAGGGTGGTAAAGGCACGCCGAAAGGTACCCCGAATCCACCACCGCCAAAGGCGCCGCCAGGTACAAGTCCAAAGGACCCACCGG